ACCCAGCATGTGTACATGGAAACCTGTTTTGAGCCATCCCCGGCTTGGGGGTCACCAACCTCCCTCACCCCTAAGGGGAGACTTGAGACTTTATACCACGAGTTCCAAGCATCTGGGGCCTCCTCACGGGCTTAAAACAGCAACTGGTGGGGCAGGTGTGAGGGGCAGGCCAGGAAGGGAACGTGGTGATAAGAACTCGCTTAAATTAAGGCCTGACAGCCTCCTCGGCGGGGTTGGCTCCCGGCCCCGGGTCAGTGGGGCTGGCCTGGAGCCGCTGAGGGAGGACGTGCGGAAGGAAGGCCGTGCTGCGCTGCCTCTGTTCCCCTGAGCGCTGTGCCCTCTGGGCAGGCCGGCAGCCCCGGCTGAGGACAGCGGGGACCGGCAGCCAGGGTTCCCCCAGGAGCCTTGAAGCTGAGGGCAATTCCCAGGAGGCAGCCAGTGCCCGGGCCAGGCCCAGGCTGGAAGGAAAGAGTGGGGGCCGTGGCCAGGACCGCCAGCACGTCAGGCCTATTCATAACCCGGCTTGGCTCCCCAGGCGTGTCACAGAGCAGATTCTGTCCGTGAGTCACTCGGGGCCTCTCCGGGGTCTCCCAAGGGGATGAGTGGGGAGGGGGTCCTTTGTCCCCCCTCCTTCCAGTCCCTCTGCCCCGAGATCTGGCCTCCTGCCTAATCACCTGCTTTTCACGTGTCTTTGCAAGCTGGAGAGCCCACACCATAGGGGGCTTGTTCTCCAGGCAGAGACTTGACTGTTTGCACAGGGACGTGTTTCCAGGGTCTCCCCGGGGGCATGTGACTCCATCAGAGCTGGAATGTCCCTTCTTGGGTCTTTGGATGTTGAAGTTTTCTCCCTGAGGTCTCAGCCAGTCACATTGCCTGTCAATGTTTCTTGGCCGGCTCCCGGAATAAAAGCCCCAATCTGTAGCATTTGCCGATTTCTGCAGTGTAAACACCCCCATGGCTGGTTTCAAGCTACTAATGTGACGTCGCCGATTGCAGAGGACGAAGGAGATGTTCACACTGGGCTCTCGCAAGGTGATGAGAGCTGGCCTTGACCCGGTGCGGGGCCAGCCGGGTCCTGTCTCATCAGCTTCCGGGTTGTGCAGCTGCCCCCGCAGGAGGCAAGATCACCTTGAACCGTCTTCCATGACTAAGGCACTGACAGCGGCTATTTACAGGCCACCAAGGCCTTTGGTGGGTGGTAGCTCTGACAGCCGGGGGTGGGGGGCTGTCCTCCAGGAAGGGGCTGGGAGGGGTCCGTGAGGGACACACTCAGAGGGCAGGCCCAGATGGAAGTTGGAAGGGAGAGAGTCGAAGGGAGAAGAAAGAGACTCGGTCCTCCGCTTGTGGCCACCTCCGCTGAGATCTCGGTGCATGCCCGTCCCCTCTTCGTTTCCCGTGTGGAACGTTCTGTGCTTTGCTCATTTGGGATGGTTTCAGCGTGTGCAAGGTCGCCTTCCACCTTCTTCAGTATACAAGCCAGCGAGAGCCAGTGTGACCTGCAGTGTCACACTTCCAGTGTGACTGCAACTGCTTCCCTAACAAGCCTGGTACTCTGCAGCCGGGATGGGAAATGGTGTAGCCATCTTGGAGAACAGTGTGGAAGTTTCTAAGAATCATACATAAAGTTACCATGCGACCCAGCAACGCCACTCCCAGGAACCTACATAAGAGAAGTGGAAAGATGGTCACACAAAGGTTTCCATGGCAGCGTCACGCGTAATGGTGCCACGGTGGAAACAACACAGATGTCCACCACCTCGTGAATGGATAAGCAAGATGCAGTCCATCCACGCAAAGGGACACCATTTAACAGCAGAAAGGAATGCAGCGCAGATACACACAGCAACGTGCATGAGCCTCAAAAACGCCATGCGAAGTGACAAAAGCCAGACGTGAAAGACCACACGCTCTAGGATTCCATCTGTATCAAGTGTCCAGAAAAGGCATTCGATAGAGATCGAGAGTAGATTAGTGGTTGCCTGGGGTTAGAAAACAGAATTCAACCGAGTAAATTTGAAGATCTAATTGCTTTATTAAACAACTCACGAGTCGGATAGCATCCTGTGGAGCAAGCAGGAGGGTGCTCAGAGAGGCTGTACGAAACGGAAGGTTTTTATAGGAAGAAGGGCGGACCAGGAGCTATTAGCCAAGGAGGAGAAAGGGTTATTTTTAGGCCAGGACTTCTCCTCTGGGGAAAGCTACGGGAGGGGTCTTTATCAGCAGATTCGCTGCTTCTTCTGGGAGGGGGATGGGGAGGGCCCACATGACAGATGACCTTACTGATGCTTGACCAGAACATTCTAGAGTGACGGGTCCATGAAGACTGCATTTCTGGGAGAGGTTGAAACTGCATGAGATCAGGTCTTAAATCCAGGTTTGATATCACGGGCTCCAGCACCAGCGACTCCATTTTGGGCCTCTGGTTTTCTTTTTCACCGTGGGAACAGCTGGTCACTGCTCACAGGCATGAAGGGTCTTTTTGGGGGTGATGAGATGGTGGAGATGGTTGCAAACTCTGTAAATATGTTTTCAAAACTGTAGATTTATCAAAAATCATCAAATTGTATGCCTTACAATGGCTGAATCTTATGGCTGGCGTAGAAATTATACCTCAATAAAGCTGTTTTAAAATGTTTCCTAAGTACTCTTTTCAATGGGTTTATATTATTCCTTCAAGTTAGATGTGCTGTAATCTATTTGATATTTTCTAGTTATTGGACACTTGGGTCTGTGGTTGTGTGTGTGTGTGTGTGTGCTACAAGCAACACAGTGATGACATTTTCTGCCTTAGGATTACTTCCTCAAACTTATTTTCCAGAAGAAGGCTTTCTAGGCCAGCTGGGAGAAAATATTCACAAATCGTATGTTCAATAAGGGGTTAATTTCCAAAATATATAAAGAGCGCTTACAACTCAACAGTAAAAAAAAATGAACAACCTGATCAAAAAATGGGCAGAGGATATGAACAGACATTTTTGCAAAGAAGATATATAGATGGCCAACAGGCCCATGAAAAGGTGTTCAGCATCACCCATCATTAGGGAAATGCAAATCGAAACTACCATGAGATATTAGCTCACACCCGTCAGAATGGCTATTCTTAAAAAAAGAAGAAAGAACAAGTGTTGCAAAGGATGTGGAGAAAAGGGAACCCTCATACACTGCTGGTGGGAATGCAAACTGGTGCAGCCACTGTGAAAAACAGAATGGAGATTTCTCAATAAACTAAAAATGGAAATATATGACCCAGCTATTCTACTACTGGGTATTTATCCAAAGAACATGAAAACACGAATTCGAAAAGATACCTGCACCCCCATGTTCACTGCAGCATATTCACAATAGCCAAGACGTGGAAGCAACCTAGGTACCCATCAGAGGATGAAAGGATAAAGAAGACGTGGTATTTATACACAATGGAATACTACTCAGCCATAGGAAATGATGAAATCCAGCCATTTGTGACAACATGGATGGACCTTGAGGGTATTACGCCGAGCGAAATAAGTCAGAGGGAGAAAGTCAAATTCTGTATGATCTCACCCATATGTGGAAGATAAACAAACAAGCAAACACATAGATAAGGAGAACAGATTAGTGGTTACCAGAGGGGAGGGGGATGGGGGGAGGGCAAAAGGGGTGAAGGGGCACGTGTGTGTGGTGACAGATGGACACCAGACTTTTGGTGGTGAACACAATGCAGTCTATGCAGAAGCCGAAATAGAATGATGCACACCTGAAATTTACACAATGTTATAAACCAATGTGACCTCAAGTAAAAAAAAAAGTTATGAACATTTGTTAAGGTTTTCAATATGATGCTAAATACGCTAAATTGCTTCCCGGGAGGGCTGGGCCGATCGATAGCTTTGGTTTCCTGCCCTTTCCTAATTTGCGTGGCCAACCTGTGGAGCCCACCGCTCCTTCACAAAAGAAACACACTGTTCTGTATTAGAAGTCGGGATGCTGGTGGCCCTGCTGGAAGAGTAACTAGAAGGGGGCATGGGGGAGGGTCAGGTGGGCTGCTCACCTCCTGTTTATTTTTTGGATTGAGATATGATTTAATACAGTAAACTTTTCAACCTTAACTGAAGAGCCGGATGAAGTTTTATGATGATATACTGGCACAGCCATCACCCACGTCAAGATACAGGACATTTCCATCATCCCAGGGCGTTCCTCGTGCCCCCTCCCGCCTCCCCCAGAGCTAACAGCCCCTCCGGCCTCCGTCACCATCCGTTAGAGCTGTCGTTCTTGAGCTTCTTATAAATAAGATATTTTTATTTAAACAACTTAATTTTTAATAATTTTAATTAAATTATTTTATTTATTTATTTTTTTAAAGATTGGCACCTGGGCTAACAACTGTTGCCAATCTTTTTTTTTTTTCTGCTTTATCTCCCCAAACCCCCCCATACATAGTTGTATATCTTAGCTGCAGGTCCTTCTAGTTGTGGGATGTGTGACGCAGCCTCAACGTGGCCTGACAAGCGGTGCCATGTCCGCTCCCAGGATCTGAACCCTGGGCCGCTGCAGCGGAGCACGCGAACTTAACCACTCGGCCATGGAGCCGGCCCCTAAATTATTTTAATGTAATTGAAATTATTTTTATTTTAATTAATATGATTTTAAATTTAACTTAATATATTGAAGAATAAAATCACATTTTTTATTTGAAAAATTTACGATAATATTTTTAATTTGATTGAGGTGCTGGTAGGATAGTTACGTTCTTTATGGGAGAGCCACTGATTATATACTTATCTGCTTGTGTGTTCTCTCTCAATAAAAAGTCGAAGTGTGGGGTCAAGGGGGAAGGGTTTCAGGGCGCTGTCCCCTCCATGGGCGGCGGCCTCCATGCTGACCGTCCTCCTCCCGGGTGTAAACGGCGGTGCGCGGGGCCGACAGTGTGGTCTTGGGTGATGGCGTTGGAGGGGAGCGGGCAATGCCCCGAGCTAACCTGTCTCTCTCTTCTCTCCCCCGCGCGTCTCCTGCGGCAGGCTGTGTCCATCCATCTCATGTGCTGCGTGTTCCCGTAGAGCCTTGTTCCGTGCCGTCCGGCAGAGAGCTCCGTCTCGTCGCCTGTCAGGCCCTGCCCTGCCTCAGCATGGCCATCTCATCGCGCCTCGCCCTGTGGGAGCAGAAGGAAAGTGGCGCTCAGGGGGCGGCTCCACCCTCGGGGGACAAGCCACAGTGCAGGTGGCCCAGGCTGCCCCTCCCACCTCCGGCAGTGCCTCCCCCGGGGCATGTCCGGTCCCCTCTTCCATCCTCTCCCAGCCAGCTCGGTTAGCCTCGGCCTCTCCAGCCCAGCTGGGCACGGGTGACCGTGCCTGGGACCCCTCCCATGACAGCCTGGTCTTTCCCTGCCCCTCAGTGGGCGGCGGGGGAGCGAGGATTGACCAGCAGTCCCGTCTCCATCCTTGTGGCAGCTCTGATGAGCACCGGGGTTCTTGTGGGAAGAGGGGTCGGGGGGCACAGGGGTGGGAGCAGAGGCAGAGCTGTTGGCTGCCAGGCTTCTGCGACGGCGAGGGGTGTCCGTGGTCCCTGCCTTCTGTCACCATGGAGAACGGGAAACGGACTCTTCTCCCCAGTTAACCCTCTTTTCCTTTTTGTACTCCTCGCAAGATACCATGAAGGGCTACCTCTTTCTTTGATGTGTTTTCTCCGCCCCTCATCCCACCCTTGGGATTTGAAGAGATGGAGGCTGAAGGGTTGGGGGGGAGCACGAAGCTTCTCTCCCTCCTGACTGCCTCCGCCACTCCCGGACAGACGTGGGGGTAGCATTGAGAATGATGCTGGAAGGAGCAGAGGTTGACCCCGCTGAGCGAGCCCTCAGTCTCCCTGTCTCTTATGACCCGTGGCTTCCAGTCCACTTGGAGAAGGGGACGCATGGTGTAGACGTGAGCCCAGCCTCGCATGTCCCCTGCCTCTCCCCGCCTCTGCTCTGTCTCCCGGCTTTCCTATCTCCTCTGGATTCCCCGGTTATCAAAGATGAAGTCTTTGCCAGCCACTCGCGGAGGACCTTGATAAGGAGCCTATTTTAAACCAGTGTGTAGCTCTGCCATAGAAAGTGCTGGAGATTTTTTTTTTTGAAGTCATGAGCAGTCCCAGTGACGCTGGTTAAAGACACACCCAAGTGGGCCACAGCCAGTCCAGGTCTCAGCCCCCGAGGTCGCTGTGGCCCACGATGGAGTCTGAGTTGCAACCCACGTCTAGCCCAGCTCTGGCCTGGACCACGTTTTTGGGGTAAAATGCCTGTGTCCAGCCTGCCGGCTGTATGTCCCAGTGTTGGGGAGCCCCTCTGGCTGCCCAGGTCCTGGTTTTAGGACCATCGGGAAGCCCCAGCACGGGGTCAGTGCAGTGGGCTGTAGCTAGAGGGTTGGATCCTTGTATAAACCGTGGCTCTTGCCCCTCCCTCCTTTACCATGTTCCTGGCGCACAGTGAGCGATTAACTAATGGATCAATCTATTATATTAATTGCAAGCTGAGATGGGGCAGGAGAATGATGACCCAGTGGATCCCTGTGGCCCATTCTCGCCTGGAAACTGGAAAATCTGTTTTGGGACCAAGTCCTCCTGGGGATGCGTCTGTCCCACGCGAGGAAGGGACCAGCAGCCTCATGGTCCAAATATACCTTAAGAGGAAACTCGGTCCAGGCAGAAATCTTATTGACTGGAGTAACCTCTGCAGCTTTCACGGACCATCTTGGGTCCCCCCCAGAGCCTCGCCAGGCCTCGTCTGCCTTGCCGTGGCCTCCTACCTGGGCTTGGTCATGGATGTCCTCCTCGGTCCCCTCCCAGGCTCCATCGCAAACTTTTTCAAGGGCAACTTGCCCCCACTGGTTCACTCACTGAGCTTTCTCCTTCCTTATTTCTGCAAAACAGATCCGGGAAGAGGACAAGAGCCCTCCACCGTCCTCGCCCCCTCCCCTTTTCTCTGTCATCCCAGGGGGCTTCATTAGGCAACTGGTCCGAGAGACTGAGAAAGAGTCCAAAGAAGCGAGACGGAGGAAGGAGGCAGAGCTCGCCTCTCCGGAACGAGAGGTAAGTGACCCCACAGGAAGGGGACCCGGTGCCTGTCAATACCCACCGTCCTGTCCTGTGAGCCTCCGCTCAGTCCTTCTCTATCCCACCTTTGCTCCTGCTGTCCCACTTTGTGGAATGTCTTTTCTTCAGCTTGATCTATTGAACTCCTATGCATCCTTCAAAACCCAGCTCAAATCAAATCGTACCTCTCTGGAAAGCTGTTCCATTGCCTTCCTTCCTCTGATTCCCACTGACCCCTCTGTGCCTGCATTAATTGCAGTCAGCATGGTAATTACTTGATCATATGACTTGTTTGACTAGGAGTCCCTTCAGAGCAACAACTCTCTCTCTCTCGTTCAACTCTGCATCTTAAGCAGATGTTGTAGTACTTAGTTCATAGCGAGGGCTCAACAAGTGTGTGTTGAATGAATGATATCAGTTGATGTATGATGGTGGGATCATCCTACCCCTACTTCTGCAGAAAGGGAAACCCAGAGAGTAGCTAAGGATGTGTCATTGGCTCGCTTTAAGCAGAAAAGATACTCAGTTGGTCCTCAGTGGTTATGGCTGCATTGGTTATTAAACTATCGGAACCCTTCCATTTCAGGAGGTAAACGGCTGAGGCCCCAGCCCCCCCAAGTGCCCTCCAGTGGCCGTGCTCACCGAGGTCCCTCCCCCAAAACCCCCAAAATGGCCACAAGCCAGTAATTAAAGGGTTATTGCTTAGCGCAGGTAGGGACCTCCGTACCTGCTCCAGCTCGCGTCCCTTCTGATTGGTTGATGTCCACTAAAACCCCTCAATTATTCTGAACAGGACAGCTGGAATCAAGCAATAGTTGGTCAAGATGCAGCCCCTGTCTTTAAGAACTTGCAAATTTGTCCCTGATGGTGGCCAACCCCTCCTTTTCCCCAGCTCCTCAGCCAGGGAGCCCGGACAGGATGACGAGGCTGGACACCAGGGAGGCAGGCTTAGGGTGCAGTGCACCCTGAGGGATGTCCTTTTTTCATCCTCATCTGTTAAACTCTTATGCAGCCTTCAAAACCCAGCTCAAATAGTGCATCTCTGGAAATAGTGCCTCTGTGTTAGGCAGAACGGGCATCTCCTTGTGTCTCTCCAGCACCCCCTTGAGGTGGGGCAAATGCCGCAATGATTGGGCTGAGACATCTGGTGGCTGTGGGATCTAGAGTTGTCATGAGCCCAGGGGCCACCCTCACTCCACCTCCCCCTCCGCTTCAGCTGTTTGCCCGGCCGGCCCTCCATGTGCCTGCATCTGTCCAATTACGACTTGGCTGCATCAGAGAAGTCCTCCGGCAGCTGAATAGCAGCAGCTGCTGGAGCCCCTGCCAAGTCTTTGTGGGGGAAGAAGACAGGAAGGACAGGCGCTGTCCCCACCCCTGCCTGACCCAGATGTAGGCAGGGGCCAAAGTCGCCCCCTGTAGGCTGGTGTTAGGTCATGATGAAATATTGCTGTGTGCCGTTTGTCACTAGACGATGCTCTCTGTGCTCTCATGGGTGTATTTGTGCGGTAGTGGGGGAGATGGAATTACACCCACTTCTCAGAGGGGGAGACCGAGGCTCTGAGAGGTCAAGCGACTTGCCCCAGCTCCGGAGGCCAGCCAGAGGCAGAGCCAGGGCGAGAGTCTGGGCATTCTCTGCTCTCGCCAGCTGCCTGCGGAAGGGGCAGGTCTGGGGAGTGAGGCGGCCAGCGTGGTGGCCCCAGGGGCCTGGGGAGGAGAGGGCTCCCTGAGGCTGCAGGCCGTGCTGGCGTTGCTGTCCGTAAGTTAAGAAGCAGAGCCGAGCAGAGGACAGGGACAGGCTGTCATCGCTGGGCCTGGACAGAGACTCAGAGCCAAGATGCGGGATGGACGGGCCCCAGACCACGACAGGTGTCTGGACCACGGGCCAAGACGTTCCTGGGCCCGGAGCAGGGCAGCCTGGGGACATGTTCCTGTGAGGCGGCAAGCCCTGGCTGGCTCCTGCCAGTTGAATTTTCTTGTCCCCATCAGTCAATAACTCCAGACACTCTCTCCTCATCCCAGTGCAGCCGCGTCATTTGACCCTCATATAATCCTCGCCGGGAGCCATCAGGATCCATCCCCATTTTGTAGGAACAGAAAACAAGGCCCAGGGACGTGACTTGGTTTTCACAAGGCCACCCAGCTGGTGAGGGACAGGGAGAGGCTGGAATAGCACTGAGGTAGAAAGGGACCCATATCGAATGTCGGGAGAACTCGGTTCCAGCTCTGGCCCCCTCACTCTGTGTGGTTCAGGCCAAATCCTTTCCCTGCTCTTGGCCTCAGTTTGCTCGTCTGTGAAATGGATGTGCTGTGAGTTTCCGCTCGGCTCCTCCGGTACCCTAAGAAGGCCGCACGGGGGACACAGGGCTTTGGGGACTAGAAACACAAAGGAGGAGAGTTCACGGGGTCGGGGGAGGAGGCTGGGATTGTTGTCCTGTCTGGCCCATCCCCACGTTACCGTCTCCTCCGTGGTGGTTGGTTAAAAATAAGGCGCTGACTCACTTTCAAAATGGTGTACACAGGGGTGAGATGTGCCAGGCGTGGCCGATCTCCGTTCCGGGGCTGTGTCCTCTCTGGCCCCCGGAGGTCAGACTTTGCCACCAGGCTCGGGGCCCCAGGGCGGGGGTTCTCGGTCCTGTTTGCATGTCGGAATCACAGAGGAGTCACCACCCAGACCAATCACACCAGACTCCGGGAGTGGGGCCCATGCACGAGTATCCTTTAAAGGTCCCGGGAGACTCCAGTGAGCCCCAGGGAGACAAGAAGGACATTAATGTGAGCAGTTCAGGGCACTGGCTTTTGGCTCAGAGAGGCCTGCGTGACGTCACCTTCTGGCTTTGTGTCTCGGGCCATACTGTTTTTGTGTTGGCTTCCTTATATGTCGGACTGGGGGAAGTTCCAACCCCACCACGGTGGGTTCTCACATGGGTGAAGCAGGATGTGGCCCGATGGTGATGAAGGGCCCATTGCAAACGACCTATAAATTATGGCTGTTATTATCATCATCGTCATTGTCACGAAGATGAAGACAAGGGCTGTGCTCTTGAGGCCTCCACCACCTAAAACAGAAGAGGGACCCAAATCAAGGCCAGAAGCAGAACGTGGCCATTGCTGCAGACGGCGTGCCGGCCCAGTGCCCCAGGGTGTCGGGGGCATAGGGGACAATTTCGGATCGAGGTCCTTAGGCGAAGCTTTGCAAGGAGGCGACATTTGAGCTGGGTATAGAAAGCTGAGACGAGCACGGATGCGGGAAGCGGGCAGGGCTCTCCAGGCAGCAAGCTCAGCATGAATGGGAGCATGGAAGCAGGGAGGCGTCAGACGTGGTGGGAGATGCCCCATGTGGCTGAGGCATCGAGATAAATGGGGACAGTGAGACCAAGGTGGGTGGGGGGCTCCTCGCTGAGCACTTTGAGTGGCAGCTGGTGGTGTTGAACAGTTTTCCCGTAGCCTGTGGGCAGTGGCCCAAGTCTTTTGATCAGGTTTAAAGTGATGGGCAGCGAGTGGAAGGGACGCCAGCGCAGAGCGTGTGACCGTGGCCCGGGTGAGCGAGAGTGGACCTGGATTTGAGAAAGGAGACAGACATGAGGCTTTGCAGAGTGGAATCGAGATGATCCTGGGGCCGGTTTAGATGCAAGAGGACGATGTGAAGTGCAGATTCCCAGGCCTGGGGGTGGGGGATGCTGGCCTTAGTGTGGTCCAAGATGGCAGAACCCAGACGAGGGCAGGTGGTGAGGTCAGGGCGGAGCAGAACCGCCCACCGGGTCGCTTTCCGCAGAGGCAGAGGGAAGGCTGGCCCTGAGAACAAGGCAGGCCACAGCCTGACTGGAGGATGGAGGGCTGGACGGGGCTGACATCACAAGGTGGTAAAAGGGCCTGGGAGAGGAGCGGGCGGTGGAGACCGGGGGCCGGATGTAGCCCCGATGTCTGGGTCAGGCAGGAGTGGAGGGGCTCGGGGCGGGAGCCAGGGCCCTTGCCTGGTACGGGGGCATGGGTATGGGTGCCTGGATGCCAGAAGTGGCAGCGGTTCAGTTTGTTCCATGCTCAGCAATTTCCAAAGTGCTTTTCACGTCACGTCTTACAAAAAATCCAGATGGTCGAGCGGCACGGTTGGAAAACTGAAGTCAGAGAGGACAGGTGGTCCATGTCCCCCAGCTGGAAGGTGTCTAGAACAGGTCCTCTGATGACAGGCCCCAGGGCCTCTCCCTGATGATCCCTTTCTAGCCGAGCAGGAAAAATGAAAGCATAAATAATAATAATAAAAATAATAACAGCCACAATGGCAACAATAACAATGACAGCAGCAGCTACTGTTACTGAGGACTGACTGTGTGCTGGGCACAGTTTCTGTGTGTTATCCTGAATCCTCACACCCGCCCTGCATGGCAGGCCATTATGATCCTCATTTCCGGATCAGGAAACTGGCTCAAACAGAGAGCGGAAGTAACTTACCTAAGGCCACACAGCCAATGAGTGGCAGAGTTTGGAGTTGAATTTGGGCCTGTTGGGCTCCAAAGTCCACTCTCCTTCCACTCTGTCACTTGGCCTTGAGGTGCCAGGCCAAGGCCCAGGGGGTTGGGGTTCGACTGATTGCCTGGCACAGTGCCTGTCAGATCCCATAGGTGCTCGAGGGTCTTTGGATGGATCAGTGGCTGGGTGAACAAGTGAGTGAGTGAATGAGTGAATGACAAAGCTGTCAGATCTGCAGGCAACTGAGTACGATGGTGGTCTCTCTCCTAGACCCCAGACATTTCCACCAGCCAACCCAACAGCAAATCCAACAGTGGCGCCAAATCTGGAAGCCAACAGATTCCCCAGGACAGCCAGCCGAGCTCTGCCCAGGACTCAAGCATTCTGGGCAAGGAGCGCGAGGGGGCCGGCCCCGCGGACCCCATGCTGATGACCAGCATCAACGGCGAGAAACCCCAGGAGTCAGGCCCCGGCGGGACACCGGCCAAAAAACCTGTGCCCTTCAGGAGAGGAATAAGAAGAGGCGACGTGTTGCTCATGGTGGCCAAGCTGGACCTGGACGCCGCCAAGCCGGAGCAGAGGGCCCAGCCCCGTGATGGCCCCACCTGCAAGTCCCCACCGCCAGCCACAGACCCTGGAGGGGAGAAGAAAGGGGAGACCCCAGGGCCTCCTCGTGGCCCCCAGGCCAGCACTGAGGATGCAGCCCCGAAAGCTGAGAAGACTCAGACTGGGGGTCTTGGGGACCCAGGCCAGAAGGCACAAGGCACAGGGGAGAAAGGGGGCGGGGCCCCCCAGACCAAAGGGCCGAAAGGGGGTGAGGGCAACGAGGGGCCAGGTGAAGGGGGGCAACCACGGACGGCGGAGAAGGGGGCAGGGGACCCCCCAACCGAGATGGCAAAGGGAAAACTCTCCAAGGATGCCGGCGGGGAGGGGAGGTGGGCTGGGGCCCAAATCCAGATGAGAAGGTGGGGAGGTTCCCTGGGCAGAAGGAGTAAGTGGTACGGTCCCCAGAGTAAGAAGGACAGAGAGGGTGACCTCCTAAGTAAGGCAGAGAAGACAGATGGACCTCAGATCAAGACGGAGACGGGCAACGCACAGGGGAAGGTTGGCAAGGTGGGGGAAGCTCCCAGACTGACCGAGAAGGCAGGGGAGCCCCTGGGTGAGATGGGGAAGGTGGGGCAGCCTCAGGGTGAGGCCGGGGAGGCAGAGAGGGCTGGGAGCAAGACTGAGAAGGGCTGGGAAGCCCCCAAGGAGGCGGACGCACGGGGGGAGACCCCAGCGGCAGCTAGGAACGCGGGCCGGCCAGACAGGAAAGGGCAGAAGGCAGAGGAACCCTGTGCCAGAGTGGACGTTGGGGCCAAAGCTTTGGAGACGCTGCTGGCAGGACCCAGACCCCCCGCTCTGGAGAGCCAGGCAGAGAGGACTCAGACACACAAGGAGAACCAAGAGGGGCCGGCCCTGCAGGAGGGGGGCAATGGAGGCCAGAGTGGAGCCTCTGACCAGGACCAGGTGAGCAGCTGCGGCCCGGGAGAGGGGAGGGGCAGCGGGACCCTGCAGAGAAGGAGGGATGGGAAGGACCTGCCCCTGAGGGTGGACAAGGTAGGGACAGGGAATTGGAGAGGGCTGGCCAGCCCAGAGGAGGGAACAAGCAGGGATCTCGAGGCCCCCACTGCCACCTGTCCCGGGGGTGAGATTCCTCATAGAGTGAAGGAGTCCCCAAGAATGCGAGGTGTCCCCTCCTGGCCGAGCTTGCTCACAATGTCACATGAGAGACTGCTCAAGATGCAGCCTTCTGGGCCCGCCTTGGGGCCTGTCATTCAAAAGGCCAGGGATGGGGTCACGGCATCTGCATTTGAATGAGCCCCCCACTTCCCCTAGGCTACATTGGGAGGAGCTCCCAAGCAAGGGGTGCACCCTCACATGGGGGTGGGGGTGGGGGGCAGCGTCATCCTGGTTTAATTCTGTGGTCTGTGTCCTCAGGCTCCAGAAGACAGATGGTACGAGGCCGAGAAAGTCTGGCTGGTCCAGAAGGATGGATTCACCCTCGGTAATTAGGGGTGTTAGCACATCTGCGGGAGGGGGTCTAAGTCTTTTCCTCTTGCGCCTCCTACTGCTGCTAGCCACATTTGCCAGGTCCTGATCATGGTTTGGGGAGAAAGGAGGAGAAGGAGCGGCTGAGAACAGCATGGGGATACATGGTTTTGGGGGTGGGAAGAGCTGAGCATCATCTCACCCTCGGCAGTGGTCCACAGGGTGCTGTTTCAAAGGTGTTTGAGCTTTGGTGATTAACTGTTAACTAATTCACTGGTGCAGCAATGTTGTTTGGTTCCTACAGCCTTCCGCCAGGCATTTGGAGTCTAGTGCAAGTGGGCAAATAGATTTCATCTCATGAACCCCCTCTTGTGGATTAGTTGTGACCACACTCCACTGAGAAGCGATTCTGAGTCCCTCTCAGAACACGGCCGGGAAAAGTGATTGATTAGTGATGCCTGTCGTGGGCACTGGGAGGGGAGAGGGCAGCCTGCATACCTTTATCTGCCATCCCAGGTCTAGGTACATGATTGGTACCATGCATCCAGCCACCTGGGTGCCTACTCTGTGCCTGACACTGTGCCAGCTGATAAAAGTCCAGGGTGAGGCGGACCTATTCTCTGTCCTCAAAACATTTGGGGTCACAATTCAGAACCCTCCAAGTGAATAGGCTGCAGCCCTGGGAGTGGGGAGGGGCTGGCGGGACCCTCCAGAGAAGGGTCTTGTCCCAGGACCCCTCTCCAGCTCCCTGGTCTGGCTCAGCAGCTCAGAGCCTGTCTCTCCTCCCCTCCCCTCCCCTCCTCTTCCCTTCTCATCTCTCTTTTTTTGGCCTGTCCACCAGCAACGGTGCTGAAGCCAGACGAGGGAACAGCCGACCTGCCAGCAGGAAGGGTGCGCCTTTGCATTGATGCTGACAAAAGCATCACCGAGGTGGATGAGGAGCATGTTCATCGGGTGAGCCCCCTCCCCTGGCTGCTCCACACCTTCCTTCCTCACCCCTGCAAGAGGTCTCCTGGTCCCTGACTGTGGACACTTCTTTGGCTTGATGCTCTGGAGGGAGTGATAGGGGAAGATCACTATCGCACTCATTGCCCTGCTGGAACTATATTGTTAGGGGGGTCACTACTCTGTCCCACAGCGTCCCCTTTATGAGGTGCCTGAAGACATAGTTTTGCCAGGTCTTGGGCCTGGGAGTTCTTCTGCTTGACCCGAGAAAGTGATTGCTTTTCATTTTCTGGACGTCGCAACTCACGTTACAGAGCCTGTTTCCTTTTTCACCCTGGCTGCTGGGGAACTCAGAGCCAAATTTGCTGCTTGCCATTACCCATAGCATAGGTTCCAATGGCCTAGGTTTTGGGTATCAACCTTTATTTTGGTTTTGCTTTTTCAGTTGTTTTGTATAAATTTTACAGTGCACCATAAACCTATTTGAGGATAAGTTGAAGTAGGACAGAAAAAAAATTGGTGTCCTGATCCTTTTCCACCCCTCACAGCCCACTAATTGAGAAGGAGTTTCCTCCAGGAGCTCCGTGTGGGCCTCGTTCATCTTCATCCCTCTCCGCTCCTCCTGTGCCCACCCCAGGCCCTTAGAAGAAAGGCTGATCCCTAAGGGAGCCCAGGCTTGACCCAAACCCCAGAGCAATAGGCCCAGAGACCTTCTAGAAGTGGAAAGAATGGCGGGAAGGCTTTTAGAATGGATGCCCCAAGCGGAAGCTGCAGGAACCCCTTACTTCTGGAAGAGTTGGGCACATCTCCAAGGGATCGATGCCTGATGGGCCAGCAGAGAAACGGGGCTGTTTGGCCATTGGCCTCCATCTCTGAGTGTCACAGAGAGATGCAGGGTGCCCCCACAAGACCCCGAAGAGGGAGAAATGGCAGTGGGCCCTGCCTTGCTCTGGAACACCCCCTTCTTTCTGTGTGTTTGAGACACAGAAGGCGCTCTGCATCTCGCTGTGTCTGTCTTAGGCGCATCTCCCCTCAGGGGCCAAGGAGTGTGGGAAGGAAGGACCCATGTGAAGAGAGGGGTGGCTCTCAGGCTGTACCAAGGGCAAAGTAGAAGGGATGTCCTATTTCATTTGTAGGGTATCCTCTCTCTCTGTCCTGGTCTTTGGCACCCCTCTCCTGGGACGGCCTCACCAGGGCTGTGTGCGAGTGCAAGGGGGGTGGTGTGGGGGCCCAGGAGGCCAGAGGACACTCTGTGTGCTGGTTCACAGGCCAACCCCCCCGAGCTGGACCAGGCCGACGACCTGGCCTCCCTGGTCAGTGTCAACGAGTCGAGTGTCCTGAACACGCTTCGGCACCGCTACGAAGCTGGGCTGCTGCACACCTGGACCGGGCCGGACCTGATCGTCCTGCAGCCGCGGGGGTCCCCGGCGCCTTCTGCAGGCAAGGTGAGCGGGGACCGTGGGGGCAGGGTGGTGAGGACAGGTGCAGGAGGGGTGGGCTCGGGGTGGTCCCTCTGCATCTCAGGGAGAGCAGAGCGCCCTGCGAGCCTGTCTGTGAACAGCATCCTGCCAGACATGAGATTCGGGCACATCGCAGGCCGTCAAGGACCCTGTGATCCTCCCGCCTTGGAGAGGAAAGATAGTAACTGATAGAAACAACAGAGGAGCGTTAAAGACGGCGATAAGAAGAGGAATAGTGAATGAGTGCCACCCGGGTACCAGGCGCTGCTTCAGGACTTTCGCGTAGTATCTCAATTAATTCTCACGCCCACTGAAAAGACGGGCGCCGTCACTAGCCCCATTTGACAGACGTGACCTGGCCGGGCCAGCGGCTAAACGCTCATCTTCAGCAAGCAGAGGAGGCGGAATCAAGGCCAGGCCACCAGCTCCTCTGCGCTCTGAACCCCAGGCTGGGCTCTTGGGGGTCCCGGAGGCCCATAGATGTTGGCATGGAAACAGCAGCCTCGGCTCTGCTTTGGTTTGCTTTGTTCCTGCGAAGTGTGGAAATAGGCAGCTTTGGTGAGGACGGTCAAAGCAAAGCCGATCTCTCTGTGCCCCCTTGAGGAACGGGCTGCAGTCGCAGCTCGGCGATTTGAGCGGGATCCCCTTCATTCATTCACTGCTGTTGATGGACACATGGACTGGGGGTTCTCCTACAAGCCAGCCACTGGCTGGGGAGGAGCAGGGGAGAAGGCGGGCTCAGAAGGCTGCACTCGGGAGCTTCCATTCGAGTGGGGAAGACGGTCCCCCAACAATAAGATAACAGTGGGCGGAGCGGACGAGGGTGGAGGAGGCGACAGTGAGGAGCCCGGAGAAGCGGGACCCTGTCTTAGACGTGGTCTTAATGATCTGGCTTTTACTCTGAGCTTGACGGCAGCTGCTGGAGACTTGGCAGAGCGGCTAGGTGGTCTGACTTACATTGTAAGGACCTTGGCTCCGGGTGGAGGACAGATGGCAGGGGCAGAGGTGGAGGCGGGAGACCCGAGGCAGATCGGACGTCTTGTCTGCGTGCGGTCCTGAGGATTGTCGGTGGGAAGATGCAGCCCCCAGGACACCCGCTGATGCACCGCGGGGGCCTTGCAAGATCACGGTGCCTCGCTGGCCTCGGTGTTTCGTCTGTCAATGTGGGTGAAAAGCCACATCTTGCCTTCTGGAGTCCCATGGGACAAATATGGTCCTAGCCCCCCAGTGATGCTGAGTCCAGCGGCCCTGCACCCTTCTCCCCAAGACTTCTCTTCTCCGGATACCCCGCCCCACCTCCTAAGTCATCCTTCAGGCCCCTCCCCAGCCTGCTGGCCATGGCCAGGGGCCTGGAGGACGACAGCTGGGCACGTGCATTTTCCCCTCCCTTGCTGTGACGGCTGTGCTCCTGTTACTGCAGCCCAGGGCCTCTGAGCCTTCCAAGAAGCACAGCGAGTCCTCTGGCTCCTTGGGAGCCCCTGGGAGGGACATTTTGTGCAGGCCTCCGGGCAAGCCAGATTCTCCCCGCCTCTCCCCGATCGCGGCATCCATTGCAGAACGGGGCCAAAGAGCCTAGGAGGACAGCCGCGGGAGCACGGCCTGGAAGGAGGAGCTGGAGTCTCAGGGTCACCTAAGCCCCTAGCCCAGGGCCCCCGTTCCGTTCCCTCAGGCCCTCCAGCCTCCCACACCCCAACCCACAGCTGCCTCCTATTCTTTGGCTGAGTCGCATCTGCTTCCTCAAATGGCCACCAGGTGGGAGCACAGACCCGCGGTGAGGCTGCCACTGGGGCCACCTGGAAGTCGACCGGGGTGGGGGGTCCGGGGCAGGGCTGGGGGCCTCTCTCACTGGGAGTCTGGGCCCACCTGGCGGCTGGGAGCTGGGTGGGTGCCTGGAGGGGGGTGCAAGTGGGCAGGATCGTGTGGGGTGTAGATGGGCCCCCTCTGTGTGCAGGGGCCTCTGCCACTGTCGGGTGCGTGTGCCTGTGAGCACACCTGCGTGCAAGCATGCAAGGGCACGTGTGCACCAGTACATGTGTGTGTGCATGCACCCGTGTGTGTACACAGGGGCCTGGAGCTGCAGAATTGTCTCTTCCTCTGATGGGGGCCGATGGATGGGATAACCTGTCCCCTGGACTTCAGAGTTTCCAGGGTGGGAGGCGGCTTCAGACCCCAGGACCCTCTGCCCGTCTCATGCCCTAAGGCTGTGTCCAGCCGGCATGGGGCTTGTCCCACCTTTGGGGTCCCTCTGAGGCCTGTGTTTTGCATCAGGATAGGGACTCTTTACTGGGCGTCTTGGAGCAGGAAAGGCCAAGGGTGGATTGGGGGCACCCCTTGGCCCCAGGCTGGGGGTCCAGGCTCGGGGGAGGGCCACCACACTGGGGCTGGTGCCCCTGGTCCCGTGGAGGCACTCGGGGTGGGGTCTTCCTGGACCCAGTGGTCGCCCACGTAGCATCCCAGCTTCTGGTGTCCTCCTCCAGCCAGGCCGGTGCCCGGCCCCCTTGATGCCCTTTCCACTGACCCCTCTGTCCCCGCTTGCCCTCTTCCCTTCACGCCTAGCACACTCTCGTCACCCCAGGGAGCTCCGTGCTGCCCAACCCACTGCCAGACGGTCCAGCCTCTGTCTTCCTCTGACTTGACCCTCAGCAGCGTGTGTGGAGCGGCCCCCCTCCTCCGCCATCGCTCCCTCCTGGGCTCCAGGACGCCGCTCTCCTGGTTCCCTCTGGCCCGTGGCCCTCCTTCTCAGACCCCCTGCGGCCCTCCTGACCTCGCCGAGCCATCCCCATCCCCATGTCCCATCCTCAGCAGCCTCTCATTTACTTTTTGTCCCTATAATTTTGCCTTTTCTGAAAAGTCATCTCAATGGAGTCCTACAGCTCGTGCCCTCTGAAATGACTTCTTCCACTTAGCCCAGCACGGGGCTTCACCCCAGGGCTGGACCTCCAGCCGCTCGTCTCTTTATTTTACTCTCTTTTATTGCTTCTCCCTTCACAGGGGCACCAATTGTCCTGGTTTCCGTGGGACCCAGGGGTTTCCTGGGACCTGGGACTGTCAATGCTAAAACCAGGATGGGTCGTGAGCTGAAGGACATTTGGGCTGTTTCTGGTTTTTGGTGATTTTGAGTATATGTTCACTATACGCAATGACATGGAGGGTTATTGTGGACATAAATGGTCGTTTCTCTTGGGAAAATACCCCGGAGTGGACCGCTGGGCTTTCTGACGGGCGCATCTCAAGGTATAAGAAACAGTGAGTTGTTTCTTGTATGTTTCTCACTGTATAAGAAACTGTTGGGGCCGGCCCGGGGGCGCAGTGGTTAAGTGCTCACGTTCCGCTTTGGTGGCCCAGGGTTCGTTGGTTTGAATCCTGGATGCGGACATGGTACCACTTGGCAAGCCATGCTGTGGAAGGCATCCCACATAGAAAGTAGAGGAAGATGGGCACGGATGTTAGCTCAGGGCCAGTCTTCCTCAGCAAAAGAGGAGGATTTGCAGCAGTTAGCTCAGGGCTATCTTCTTAAAAAAAAAAAAAGAAGGAAACTGTCAAACTGTCTTCTGGATGTTGTACCATTCAGCGTCCGACAGCACCGTGTGACAATTCCAGTCGCTCCCATCTTCACTGGAACTTGGTAGTGAGTGTTAAAAAAATTAAAACCATTTCTTAGCCATCCTATTAGGTGAGTATGGTGTCTCCTTGTTGTTGGCTGGGATTTCTTTTATCCGTTGTGTGGTGTTGTGTCCCCGGTGCCTGGACAGTGCCTGCTACATGGTACATGCTCAGTGGATTTTTTTTATTGATGAGGAGTGAATGAATGGATGGACGGATGGTTGGATGGCTGGATGAAGTGGAAGGAATTTCAGCCGTTACCTAAATTGGTTCTGGCAAATGCACAGCACATGTACCGCCAGCTGCCCCAGCCCCATTTTGTTTCCACGGCAGACATCACTAATCGATTGCGCCATTTCATCGAGCTGCCTCATTCCAGGCAGTACTTCCCAATAATTTGAGCAGCAAGTGAGATGAGCCCCATGAGCTAATGCAGCCCGGGGTCCAGTCTCCTGTTAGCTGAAGAGGACATCTGGGCCCAGAGCGGCCGCCAAGGCTGCCCGAGGACTCACAGCGAGCCCCGGGCAGGGCTGGACTCCAGGCTGGGCTCTTCCTGGTGAAATGCGAGACTTCTCCAGCAAGGAGGGGGCAGGACGGGAAGCAGGGACATGGAGCTGGGCTCGAGGCTGGGGTGGCATGCCATCTGGGGTGCTCCCTGGGCACCGGCGGGGGTGGGAACACTGATGCCTGGGGTCTTCCTACAGGTGCCCAGATGCCGCTGGGACGGCCTGCCCGCCCACGTTGGCTCCCTGGCCCAGCGGGCGTACTGGGCGCTACTGAACGAGCGGAAGGACCAGAGCATCGTGGCCCTGGGCCGGAGCGGCGCCGGGAAGACCACCTGCTGCGAGCAGGTCCTGGAGCACCTGGTGGGGATGGCAGGCAGTGTGGATGGCACGGTCTCAGGTATGGTGGTCTCCAGGTGCCATGCATTGGGGGTGGGAAGGACGGGGGGAGGGAGGATTGGAGTGGGCGCTGGGCTGCCCCTCCCTATGTCCACTCAGCTGGCAGTCACTGAGCATATGTGCTGACTGTGCTTGCCACTGGGCCACCCCTAGTCCATGGGACACCTTTGTGCGAATTAGAAAGAGGTCCTCCTTCTTCAAGACATTCACAGCCATCTGTGGGGCAATCCTCCACTGACATTGTTAGAACCGAACACTGGACGGCCACGTGCTGGGGAATCATCCTAATCAGCATACAAATCTACAATAGTATGATGAAATGAAGTGCCCCTTGGACACGGTGTCCTTGTGCAGTGCACAACCTGCTGAACTGTACAGAGGACCCAACAAGTCAAGTCAGGAGGGCAGGGCCTGTGCTCGGGAGGAGCTGACAGCCAGAAGGGAAACTGAACCACCCGTATCTGCCAAACTCGAGTGCTCTGCACAAAGTGCTGGTTAGGGGAGAGGCAGAGGGAGCTTGGGGGGGAGCAGGGGAGGTGACGTTTGTCCTGGGCCTTAGAGAAAGAGTGCCAACTAATAATAATAATTAGAATTTTAATAACAATCCTAGTAAACACTTGCTGAAGGCTTCTGTGCCAGAGCCTATTCCAAACATCTTAATTTATTTATTACTTACAACAGCTGTATAAGGTAGATATTATTATTATTCACATTTTATAGATGAGGACATTAAGACTCAGAGAGGGTAACCAGCTTGCCTCAGGCCACACAGCTAATCTATCCTTGAGCTGAGATTCAAACTCAGGCAGTCCGGCTCCAGAGCGGTGACCCCCGGGCCAGCGTTCTCAATGCTTTTTCATTGTTGTTCCCCAAACGAGCCTTTTTAGACAGTTTTTTCCCCTAGTCATCCCCCCACGATGAAGTTTTAATGCCATAGATACACCACGGTCTGTTATGCGGTGTATGTACATCTGTGCCCTCTACATAAGGTGGGAAAATTCCCCCACCCCAAGGACCTGCTTCTGCCCTCGGGGGGCAGTTTTCCAGAAGACACGGCCCAGCTATCGCGCTTTTCTCGTCGTAATAAATATAATGCGAGCACCACCACACCTGGAGCGCGTCCTAAGAACTTTACTTTATTCAATCATCCAGTTCTCATGACAACCACATGAAAGAGGTACTATTATCGTCCCTGTTGTACAGATGGGGTGTCTGAGGCACAGGGAGCTGCATTAATTTGAGGGGAGGTGCCAGGGTTAGACAGGGTAGGAGTCAGGCTAGGCTGTATCCAGGTGCCTAGCCCAGTGCCTGGAGCAGAGTAGGTGCTGGATGAATAGTTGTGAGGAGATTGCGGGGCTTTTCAAGCCTGCTGTGATGGGGAGTGCCCTGAGAGTGGGTCTGAGCACGTTAATGCCCTGCCCTCCTCCTGGATTCCCTCAGGCCCAGGAGGCCCCAGGGCAGCCCCTGCCACCCAGATTCCACCAACCCTGGGTCTGCGTGTCTCCATTTCCTGACTCAGTCTTGCTCTGATTGCAGTCCTGCTCGCGGCGCAGGGCCAGGCCAGTGGTGAAATGTGTGTGGTTCGGAGCTGAGCTGGGGAGGTGGCAGGGAGCCCGCTGGGGCCCGGGGCCAGGATGTGGTCAGGCCCTGGGGAAGGGCGGTCCTGGGAGAGGTGAGGGTGACGCCCTGCCCCGTGCTCCCCCACAGTGGAGAAGATTCGAGCTGTCTTCACCGTCCTCCGGGCCTTTGGCTCCGTGTCCACCGGCCACAGCCACAGTGCCACCCGCTTCACCATGCTGATGTCGCTGGACTTCAATGCCACAGGCCGGGTCACGGCCGCTCAGCTGCAGGTGAGACCTCTGCGTGGATGGGAGAGGGGGTTTCTCGGGGCTTCAGGGTTCCCAGCCCCACTCAGCAGAGCCCACGCCTCCAACTGGGGCCCTGGAACGTGTCTATATGGTGATCGCTCCCCAGGCCGTGGTCAGCCCCTCCCTGCCTTGCTCAGGGGCCCCGATGGCTCTCCTGGAGCAGGCCAGCCCCTCTGCGTCCCGGAATGTGGCGGGATGAGCGATTCACGGGGAGACATCGAATTCAGCTGCCCGTTGGCTGGTGCTTAAAGTGCCAGCTGGAATTCCAGGGACCCCCCGACCTTGGTGCAGGCTCATGAGGACCCCTGCCGTTTGGTGTGCGTCCAGCATCGCCAGGCCCCTGCCATCCCCCTCGGACACACTGTTGGAACAGAAAATAGCGTTAGGTTGTTAGAAGGGTTGTTTGTACGTGGAGCTGGGATGACACCCAGGCTCCAGGAAAGCTCCTGGGTGCCACAGATCCCCGTCTGCCCCAGCCCCGAGACTCCCCATTCCTCGCCATTTGGGTCCAGTTACGAAAGTCTCCCCTTCTCCCCTCTGGATGCGTCGCTGGGAACGGGCTCTGGCGTCACGGAGTCCCTGGATGGACCCTGAATGAGCGAGATAAGGGACACAGCCGTTTTGAGATGAGCGTCCGGAAGAGTTTGGACCTGAGATGTTGCCTCGAAGGGTGGGCTGGGGTGGGGTCCCTCCGGGCCGCGGGGCAGCAGGGCCCCAGGCACGGGGCGGAGGTCTCCAGAGTGCCGACCCGGGGCCGTCCTCTCCCCTCGCAGACGATGCTGCTGGAGAAGAGCCGTGTGGCACGGCAGCCGGAGGGCGAAGGCAATTTCGAAGTTTTCTCCCAGATGTTGGCAGGACTGGACTTGGATCTCAGGTGAGCGGCTGGGCCGGGCAGGGATGGCCGAGGGCCGTGGGACACAGGGCACCTGCTCTCCCGGGGCCCAGCCTTAGCTCTGCCCGGAGCCGAGAGGCGGTGGAACCCAGTGGTCAGGGACCCAGCCTCTGATTCCAGCTGCCTGGTACTGCTCACAGGCTGGGGGACCTTGGTCGAGTGTCAACCACTCTGAACCTCTGTTTCCTCCTCGGTAAAGTGGAAACAATACCTTGACTGACCTCATAGGATTATGTGAGATAAGTCACATACAGCTCTTCGCAAATCTGGGGGGTGGCGGAGGCTGGGGCTGGGCCGGTGGTGTGTCAAGACAGGGCCTGACAGCAGCATGGGAGGAGGGCAAGGAACAGCAGACCCCAAGTCTTCCAGAAGTTTCTAAACTCTGGAGGAGCCCTGGGTGCACATGAGGGGTTGCCCGCATGGGGCACCTTAGGTCAAGGGGACGCGGGTGGAGCAGCCGGCAGGGCAACCAGACAAGATTCATCTTGGAGGCCCTCCTGGGGGAGGTGGGCCAGCAAGTCCCCAGCTCTGTAGGGCCTCCTTGGGCCTGTGGCTCTCTCTCTCGGAGCCTCGGTTCCCTGGTTTGTCGAATGAATGGGCAACGTTCTAGAGGAGCCCCAGGGAGGGGAAGACGCTGGCTTTTCCCTGGCGAGGGGCGAGAATCCGTGTGTCCCCTCCCCTTGTGTCCCCCATTCTTTGTCTCCTGCCTCCCTCCTCCGTGTGAAGGGCAGGATCCACCTGTCCCGAGCCTCCTGGCTAAGGCCGAGGGACAACTGTATCCCTTGGAGAGAGGGCCGTTAGCGAGGGGACTCCCGGTTTCCAGAGCAGGGTAACTGAGTAGTAGGGAAGCTTCTGGAAGGCCTTCTGAACCTATCGAAGAACTTGGAACAGAAAGGTGTAGTTTCGTGGCTAGGACCACAGACTTTGGGGCCAAGCTGCGTGGATTCGCGTCTGGCTTTTCCACATGTCGGCTGTGTGACCTCGGGCTAGTGATTTCACCTCTCTGAGCCTCCCTTTCCCTGTCTTCAAATGAGTGTGATAAAACCTGCCTCCGAGTGTGGCAGTGAGGGTTCAAGAGTGAGTAGGTGTACGATGCTTACAGCACCAGGACATACCGCATGCTTTGTGTGGGTGTGTTGTTCTGGAGGATTTGATCTGCCCCGGCACCCCCTCAGGTCCTCACCAGGCGTGTGCTGGAAAGAACTGACTTTGGAGTCAAAGGGACATGTGTTTAGATCCAGGCTTTGCCACATGTGGTCCTCTCTGAACCTCAGTTTCCTTTTCTGTAGAAGGGGAACCTACTAGTGCCAACCCTGAGGGCATTTAAGCCAGATCCCATGTCAAGGCAGTGGGCCCCGTGTGGGAGGGCACGCTGTATAGACTCTGCACATGGGAGTCTGAACCCTGTTTTCTGGCTCCCTGGCTTCGGGTGGGGGGCTTTACTCTCAGGGCTCCATTTCCTCATCTCTCAGAATCCGAAGGGCATGCACATCTCCCCTGAGACCCCACAGTGGGGCCATCCCTTCTGTACTCCCTGGGGGGCTCCACCCTGGGCCTGGAGCCACTGCCTGCTGGAGAGAGGGAGTTGGGGGTCCCTGTGATGGGCACAGGGAGGATAAGGCTGGGCTGCTGCCAGCAGAGGGTGCCAGGCCTCCATGCCAGGCGGACCCGGGCCAGGGGGCTCTTTGCCGGTGGGCCTGACCGGGCGAGTGTGGCATCTTTGGGAGCCAGGACAAAGCTGTGTCTGAGAGGACGAGGCTGCCCCAGAGGAGTTTCAGGGGCCCCGGGAGAGTGGAGAAAAGTGCTTAGAACAACTCAGACCTCTCGGGGCTTGTGGTCTCTCTGGGGGCTCCCTGGTGGTCTCAGGCCTTCTCCCTTTCTCACCCTCTGCAGCTGCCAGGCTGTTCCCTCAGCCACAGTGAAGCTTCCAAAGGACAAAACTGGTTCCCACTTCCACAGACATCCTTCCTTTCTCCCATGCATTCATGCGGCAAACTCCTATTCATCCTTCAAAACCCTGCTCTGAATCCCTTCTTTCAAGGAGTGCTGCCTGGTTCCTACTCCCTCAGCTTCCCCTTTATACCATTTTGGTGCCTGGGGTGAGCCTCTGGTCTAGCACCTGGCACCCTGGGGCATCCGGGTCTCTCTCCCTCACCTGACAGACTGTGAGATCTCAGAATCAGGGGCCCTGCCTTCCTCCTTTCCGTCTTCCCAGCACATAGCGTAGGGCCTATTAATCATTTGTCAAGTTGAACTTCTGACTAATGGAATATAGACCCTGTCAAGTGCAGGGGGACAGATATCAAGTCCTACTGTGCACCAGGCCTGCAGTGGGAGTTTCTCTGTATCATCTCATTTAATCCTGTGAGGCGAGTGGTAGGAAGCCCTTTAACAGAGGAGCTACAGGGGGACCCAGAGAAGAAAACTGGCTTGTCCGCTCCCTTGTGGGGCTGGGGTTGGACTCAAACCCTGGCCAACAGGGAGCCTTCCAGGCTGTGAGGCTGAGGCTGGGGGGGCGGGGCCTGGAGAGAAGTAGGGGAGAAGGCACAAAGGGACCCAGAACTGGAGAGAGTGGCTGGGAACTGTGGGTGAGCCCCCGCCCCGGGGACCAGCACGAGCCCCGTGGTGGGTGGGGGCCTGGCCTGCCTCCACCTCCCCGTCTGCCTGCATTCCTCAGGCCGGTGGGGCTGGGCAGCCCCTTCGCTGGGCCCACTCTCAAGACACCTTTAGTCTGAGCACTGGAGGGGCTTTCAACATCCTGTCGCCTTGTGGGGGGAGACAGAGGCTGGGAGAAGGGGCGGTGGCAGGACAGCGTGGGACTCTGTGCTCTGGGGGCCAGAGGAGCTCAGCCCGACCCCCGGCCCCGCGTTGCTGGCTGTGTGGGCAGGGTGCTGACTGCCGGTGCCTTTGCTTTGTCGTCTGTAAGATGGGAATGACATTGGCACCTGTCGGGTGGGGCGGTGCTGCCGATCCTGGAACTCGCTCCTCCCAGCTGTTCTAACATCATCCCTGAGCCGGTTCTCCCAGTGGGCTGGCAGGAGACCCCGAGTTAGAACCCGCTTTCAGGATTTGAGCCCCGGACCCTTTCGTCCAGGGTTTCCTGGCGCTTAGGAAGGGCCGAGGGAGGGCGGTGAGCAAGGAGTATTTGGGAGGGGGTGCCAGGGCCTGGGGCACCGCTGGGGCTGCCTGGGGCACGTGAGGGCCCCCTGCCTGCCGGGCCGCCAGTGTGGGGTGTCCTCCTGACCTTGCCCCCATCTCCGCTTCCAGGACGGACCTGTACCTGCACCAGATGGCAGACAGCAGCTCCTTCGGCATGGGCACTTGGCCCAAGGTAAGGCGGGGGTCCTTCTGGGGGGTGTGGGTGTAGCCCAGGGTGGGAGGGTGAAGGAAGGGGCCCGTGCGACTCGTCTGCGTTGCTGCTGGGGTGCATCGCTGGAAAGGCTGTTGGTGTCGGGGAGGCAGGGGCTGGACTCCCCGGGGCGAGGAGACGTGTGCAGAGAAAGGCAACAAGGGGATGGTATCCGTAAAGGGAGGAGCCTGGGCTCTGGGGACAGGCCATCTTGGTTCAAAGCGCAGCTCTGACACTTGTTAGCTGCGTGACCTCGGGCATGGAAGCCAGCCTCTCTGAACGTCTGTTTCCTCTTTGGTGAAATGACGATAGGAGCCATGACTGCCACACGGGCTCGTTGTGGGATGAAAGGAAACAATGTGCATAAAGCACCTAGCACATTCTTGGCCCAAATCCGTCAGTCGGGGACTCTTAGCAAATGTCACTGTGAGTACTGTGGGCGGACGCCTCAGAGCCGGCTTCCTGGAGGCTGTGGCTTGGGAGCAGAGCCTGAGAGGTGGCGTTCAATTGATGAAAAAAGCAACTTGTTCCCTCGCTCGTTCATTCTTTTATTCATTTTTTGATATGTCGACAATTGTTTTCTGAGTCGCCTCCCCCCACTGCCCCCACCAGCACCAGCTGTGCCAGGCCTGTGCTAAGTGCTGGGGTGATGGTCCGTATCCATGAATTTCCCTCTGTCAGGAGAGAAGGGCTTGGGGACTGGTGCAATCATGAGGGATAAGAACATGCCGGAGGCTGCACAGATGCTGTGGGCACCAGGGGGTTGTTGAAAGACCTGCTTGGCCTCAGTCAGGGAAGGCTTCTTGGCCAAGGAGACAATCAGTCTGGGTTTTGTAGGATGAGTAGGAGTTCGCCAGGTGGAGAAGGGTGGATAATTTCTACTCCAAAGCCTTTTTCAAACATATATGTCTGGGAAACAAATGGTGTTGGGATAATTGGACATCTTCATGCCAAAAAAAATGAATTTCAATCTGTGTCTTCATACCACACACAAAAATTAACAGGAATTGGATCATAGTCCTAAACATAAAACTTAAAACTGTAATATTTCTAGAAGAAAGCGGGAGAAAAAATTCTGTAACCTTGGATTGGGCAAAGATTTCTTAGATGTGACACCAAAAGCACGGTCCAGAATAAAACAAATTGATAAATTGTACTCCCGTGAAGTGAAGAACTTCTGCTCTGTGAAAATCGCTGTTCATGTGAAAATCCAAGGCCCAGACTGGGAGAAAATATTTGCAAATCACATATCTGATGAAGTATTTGAATCCAGAATATATAAACGACTCTCAAAACTCAAGTAGAACAACCCGATGGAAAAAAAATGGGCAAAAGATTTCAGCATACTTCACAAAAAAAAGATACATGGATGGCAAATAAGCGCATGAAAGTACGCTCGACATCATTGGTCGTTACAGACCTTCAAAGGAAAGCCACAATGTGACACCGCTGCAGGGTCACCAGACTGTCTGCATTTAAAAAGACCGATCGTACCAAGTGCTGGCGAGAACTTGGGGTAACTGGAGCTCTCCCACCCTGCAGGTGGGAATGCAAAATAGCACAGCCCTTTTGGAAAACAGTTTCTTAAACCAGTTAAACATCCACCTCCCGTATGACGCACTGTTCTCCTCCTAGGTGCTTATGCAGAAGGATGAGACTGTCACGTCCATACAAAAACTCTTGCAAGAAAGTTCACAGCAGTTTTATTTGCAACAGCCCAAACCTAGAAACTCCCCGAAGGTCTAGTTATGTCTGATAATTAAGCTGGGTGAAAAATCTCAGCTGAAAGAGAGTGCAACTCTGTGATTCCATGTATGTGAAACTCTAGACAGTGCAAGCTGATCTGCAGGGTCAGAAACAGGTCAGATGCCAGCCTGGTGGCCTAGTGGTTAAGTTCGGCATGCTCTGCTTTGGTGGCTTTGGTTGGGTTTCCTGGGTGCAGACCTATGCCACTCATTAGCCATGCTGTGGTGGTGACCCCACATACAAAATAGAGGAAGATTGGTGCAGATGTTAAGCTCAGGATGAATCTTCCTTAGCCAAAAAAAAAAAAGAAAAGAAAAGAAGAGAAAACAGGTCAATCGTTGCCTGGGGATTGGGTGAGGGCAAGACGAGGGGAGAAAAAATTATAAAAGGGAGCCTTTGGGGGTGACGGACATGTTCATTGTCTTTACTGTGGAGATGGTTTCACGAGTGTAAATGTCCAAGTTTATCAAATTCTATGTTTATAAAGACGGGTGGGTTCTCCTTTGTCAATTACACATCAATAAAGCGGTTACACACACGCTGGGTGCCGTCCACAGAGTTACTGAATCAGCGGGTCTGGGGTGGGGCCTGAGAATCTGCATTTCTCACGAGTCCCCAGGGCTGCTGATGCTGCTGGTTCTGGGACCTGACTCTGAGAACCCCTGGAGCGCAGCCCTTTTCCGTGGAGGGTGGGGTGGGATGGAGCGGGTGATGTGGCTCCTCTGTCTTTAGATTCCGGGGGCTGATCCGCGGTCCCCTTGCTGGTCCCCCTTCAATGGGGCGTCTGCGGGGTGTTCATCCTTCATGCCCCCATGACTAGGGTCCGTTGGGCACCCAGACCTCCATCTTGATGGCGGAGGATGTGGGGCGATCCCTGCGCTGGGTTTTCTCGTTCATTTAATGGGTTTTGGCCAAATGCATCGCATTTCATCAGCAAGAAGGTGGTTGTTTGTTTTCCTGTTGTTTTCGAGGAGGAAAAGGGCGGGAGCCGGGCCTGTGACCCGTTTGTTCAGTCTTACGCAGGACGGTCGCTGCGGGAATCCGCGTCCAGGAGGCGTTTGAAGTGGTTTGTTTTTTCCCTGTGTTTCCGGGGGTGTTTTTGAGAACACTGGATGTGTGGGAACTGGTCGGATGGCCCTTTGTTCTCTCTGCTCCTTGGCAGGTACGCAGAGAGTGTTTTCTCTGTTCTCGAGATCAAAAAATAAAGTCTGAGGACTCGTTTGGTCTTTGAGACGAGCCTTGGGCTAGTTCTCTGGAGGGGGCGGTCCGGGGGACCATCTCACAAGGGAGGGTTGAGGTCAGAAAATGCCTCCTGAGAATGGGAGTTGCTAAGTAGACACCCCCAAAGGGGTCAGATTTAGCAGATAAAAATACAGGATGCCCAGAACTGATTCGTCCTGTAATGGATCGAACTACGGTGACCACAGCTGATGCTGCTGGACAGATCGTGTCTTTGAAAGGTGACGAGAGCCTGGATCCTGTGTTCCTACCACACACACACGGTGACCAGGTGAGGTGACGGATGTGTAACAAACTTGATTGTGGCGATCACAGCACAGGGTACGCGTATATCAAATCGTTACCTTGTACACCTAAAAATTCACAAATTTTATTTGTCCATTATAACTCAATAAAGCTGGAAAAAATACAGGATGCTGGTTAAATTTGAATTTCAGATAAACATCTAATAGTTTTTTAATATAAGCGTATGGCAAACAATGCACGGGCAGGCCTGGAGGGCTGGAGTCGTATCAGAGAAGGCTGCCTGGAGGAGGAGGCACAAGCTGGTCCTGGACTTAGAATGAAGTTAGACGAGTGTAGTGAGGTCAGTTTTCCGGCGACACCAAATATGGCAGGGAGATATGCTAAAAAAAAGGATCTGTTGTTGATCTGAAATTCAAATTGGACTCGATGTCCTTCCTCGTATCTGGCGATTCTACTGCCCGTATTTCTCCCCCGCTGAGCCCTCTTTCCCCGCCTGCTGGCCGTTCCCCTGACTGGTCACTTCTGCTTCTGTTTCATCTGTCGCAGTCGGTTCCATCGTCCCCTGAAAATTCACCGAGGATGGTGGTTGGGAAGCGGTCTGTGGAGTCTGACATACGCGGGTTCCAATTCCACCGCCAGCACTTAGCTCAGTGGCCTCAGACCCCCGGGCCTCAGTTTCCTCATGTGTAAAATCGGGATGGTCATTGTCCGCCCTGCTCCCGAGTGACGTGAGATGAAGCCGTGACGCCCCTGGACAGTGCCTGGATCCACCCCATGCCGGCTTTATTATTATCATCGCTGTTGATATTACTGGGATTATTCAGTTTGAGCCCAGACGGCAGCGTTGACCAGCCGGGCGGGGCCAGGCCTCAGTGGCCCCCGGGGTCCCCGATCCACGTTCCTCGCGGCACATGCCATGTTTTTTCTCTTTCTGGCTTTATCTCAATTCTACTCGAGTTTATATTTTTAAGGAAACATTTATTTAAAAAATTAAATTAGTCCATACGTCCGTGGGAAAATCAGAAAAAAAGCAAAGATACAAAAAACCCCAAAACGCACACATTCCAAACCAAAAAACAGGCTCCACGGACGGCACCCTCCAGAGACCTCCATTGGTCCCGTGTCCACGGATCTCCTCTCAGTAATTTTCATTTGAAGATTTTACATGGAACACAAACTGTAGAGGGGCCTTCCTGTGGTCCTTGATGGTGAGGTGATAAATATCTTTGTGCATCTTCTCAGGCCTGAGCCCCTACCCCTGCCCACCCCTCTGTCCACGGAGAGGCCACCCGTGTGGTGTATGTCGCCACTTCCTTGGTGACGGTCATCATGTGTCACACTGTTAACTTATGGCCAGTCTCCCCTCGGCCCTAAGTTCCGAGAAGATGAGGGGTCTTCTGTGTCCTGTCCACTGCTTAACGTACAAGGCCTTGCACTGAGCCAGGCATGCGAGTGCTCAGTAAATGTTTGTTGAGTGAATAAGTGATTGAGCATGTTCCCCACCACAACTTGGCAAAAATCACATCTTTTCAGCTTTCTAAACTGTGCTGCTGTGGTAGGCAGAGCTGTGTTAATGATGTTCTAATTTATCCCTCTGTGCCTGTGAGGCGTGTCCCCAGGGCTTTGGGGATCTGGTGTCTGTCTTTGGACCCGCCACCTGCATCCTGGGAGCTGGGGCCATTGCTGGCAGTCACAGACGACCTGGAGAAGGGGATTAGACATTTGGGGGCTCTCATCCCTCAGCCAGCCTG